AGAAACTGCATAAAAAGAATGATGAGCTTTAATGAGGGATTGGTTTTGCTAGGTTTACTTCTGTCTCCTCAATGTGAATTCCCTGGGTATGTCATCCAGAGAAAGGACTGGACCATGACCATATTGCTGCCAAATGAGTAGTCACAAATGTGTTTTGATGACAATATCCCTCTTACTCTGAAGGGCAGGAAACCATACTTATAAAATGCAATGAATGCTCGTGAATACGGAGAGAATGCAGTAACTAGATAACGACTGTATGATGAAATCTGTTGAAGCAGGCATTCATCAAACAATATTTTTACTAGGACTTTAGCTTCCTCACCTACGTGGAGGTAAGGGAGAGTGAGAAGACTGAGAATGTTGCTGCTATCATGGTAGTTTCGTGCTCTAGCAGACTGGTGAGAATGGGGTTGTGTTGACTTACAGTAAAACTGCATTTAAAAAATGAATTCTGCAGCCATTAGAGTTAGAAAAATATGTCTCCTACAGAATTTCAGTGTTTTGTGTGTTTTATACAAATACAGAAAGTGAGCTGATTGAATATCCCCACAGCTATTGTATATTGATGTTCTTTATTTCTACCCTAGATTTGCGTGGATGCAATGTACTCCCAAATGTCTGTGGCTTGTTTGTTTGTTTCTTAAATATATACCTTCACTTCCCAGTGGAATAGCTGTCCCGTTCTTCAAGTAGTATTCTAGTTCTGTTTATGTAATGATTTGTGTGATCTCTTGGAAAAAGCATAGGCTGATAAATATCACAGATAAGTAATTGGAATATGTTTACATCATGTTTTATGGTGCTGTGTTGGACACACCTGAACTAGCTCTGACAGGCTCGTACAGTGCAGTGAATTACTGTGTGAAGAGATAACCTCAGGTCCCAGAGGCTGTCCAGCTTTGCTGCCGAGCCCTGTGCTGCTGTTAAGAGCCCTGTGCTGAAATGGCAATGCTGCTTCCGGAGCTGGTGTGTCGAGCAGTTCTTTTTGGTGCTGTGTGTCATGGCTAAATAATCCTTGTTCAAATCAATGGCCCAGATTCTTACAGAGCTTTTTCATAAGGCTCTTATTGTTATCCTGGACGAGACCAAAGGAAGCAAATCAAATGTTGGGCTATGTTACAGGCAAGGGGAACCAAGACAAGATGTGGCATTCTACATTTTCACCTTAAATGCTCTTTAGCTTTGGCCATTTTACAAAAGGCGCGTCAGAAACAGGCAATTTATGTTACCAGAATAGGCTGGATTTTGGATGAGATGAGAAGATGAGAAAAGATAGGAGAGGGATTAATGGACCGAAAAGAGCTAGTTTTGTGTTCCTGTCTGTCATCTTATTCCAAGAAGTGATACATAAATTAAAAGCCATAATAAGTTTTGTGTAAAGCAGAGTGTTACAGGATACTCTGGAGGCAAGAAGGAAAAAAAACTTAAGGCCAAGTTCTCATCTCCCACCCACTCCTCCTCCTCCCAGAAATGCCCACCTGCCTCTCTATTGTCAGTATTTACACTAGTTATATTGAAGGTGTACAGTTATAAAAGTCTAACAGAGAATAGCAAGCTCATCAGTTACATAAAGGAAAGAAAACACCTAATCATTATAGCATGTCTGGACAGACTCTTGCAATTTATGTCTCTTATTGGTATCTGCTAAGTGTAACTGATGGAATGGTAAATGATGATTTTTAGTACACATCTTGAAAAAAGGGGGAGGGGAGAGTGAGGGGACGGTAGAGCTCTGCACAAGCATTAAAAAGCCCACCTCACCAGCTGTGCATAAGGCAGCTTGTTTTACCTGTGTGCCAGGAGACTGAGATAAGGTTAAACACTATGTACAGAATTCAAGGCCACGGTTTCTTTTTGCTTTCTTATCTGTACAGACTTTTCAATTGACTTTTAAGCCTTCTTACACAGGCTGTTTAAATCCCATCAACACTGTTTATAAATGGAGATTTCTTTAATAACTCAGCCTTACCCAAGTAGACAGTTTTCAAATTACTGCTGAATGCTGTTGTATTCATTAACTGTCTTAGTTGTGCCAGCTGTCTATTATTTCTTGCCTTCTGAAAGGCTTTGAATCCCTCTTTGCTTTGGGACTTAACTGGTTTTGTTAAATTGTGTTAACAACTACTCTTACATCATTTGTCTATGGCCTGTAGTGTTAATTGCAAAATCAATGTGTGCTGGTTTCAAAGTAAACTGGTGGGAGAAATGAACCCAACTGGAGAGATTGCAAGTCAGAGTTACAATTTACTAAGAAGATTACAATAAATACAATGATACAGAGAAAAATTGGTTTTAACTCCCAGAGATAGATGTATGATCCAGTACTCTGGGACAAGAACAGAACAGTGTTTGTTGGCCCCTGTGCTGAGCACCACTTGGCCCCCCCTAGGTGCAAAGTAAAAGGAAAGTAAAGCCTGTTGGTCTGGGTGATGGTCGCAGTTCTGTCGAGAGTGGCAGCTGTAGTCCTGTTGAAGTCCTGGCCCTCCTCTCGATCTGGTGAGTGGTACCAGAAGTCCCAAAACCCGAAGTTTATATATGCTCAAGTTCAGGTGGGAATGCCCAGTACCTCCCCAGGATAGGCAGTTTCACAGTGGGTGATTTAACTCTGTGAGTCGTGGGATATTTTTGGAATCTTTGATGGTCTAGGTCGTTGGAGCTGCCTATGTCCATGGGCCACCAGTGCAAGGTGGCCCGTGAGCAGAGATGACCTGTCAGGCTTTGTGTGAAGGTGTTAATGCCTTTCCAGAGGGGAGTTATCACAGCTGAGTCATTGGTGTGAAGACAAAGAAACACTCCCCTGCCTCGCAGGGTTTCTTTAACACCCAGCTTGTAGCCTGAGGTGTCAGGGATGCCCTGGGCAGCTGCTGCAAACGATCCATTTATTAACAGTCCATCAGAAATGACTTAGAGGGTGTAGAATACACAGTTTTGATTATACCTACATAGTGATAAACTGGTCCCAGCCCCTGTAACTAGGACACCATGATAATTCCATGTCTCTGAAAATCTATGTGATAATCAGATACTCTGTGTAACTGTGATTTGTTGTATTTGTTCCGAAGAGGAAAAATAAAGGCATCTCAATTTTTTTTTCAGATGCTATAGATTTAATAAGGTTGTCTCTAAATAATGCTGCTGATTTTAGAAGGAAATTGTAATAACAGTTCATCGGGTAACACTGAAGACTAGTTTTTGTCTGTAACCAGTGCTGTATGAACTGCTGTGTAACCAGCTGGAATTGTCTCAAGTTTTGCTGAGTGTTTGTCCAAAGAGAGAAAGCAAATACAGTAACTGCAGTGGAAGGAATAGATAGGCTACAATTTTATTTTTCACATTGGATTTGTGTGTTTTTGTTTGCTAGCAGCTGTGCTTAATAATAAAACTTGAAAGTTCAATTCTAAGAACTGAGTCCATCTGAACAGATTATACAAAGCTCTCAGGCCCTTGGGAAGGATTTAGTTGCAGTTTGGTCAATGACTCAGGTAAAACCATGTCTTCCATGAAATCCTTGCCCCATCTTAAAATTTTCAGTGTTTGAAACTTCAATGAAGTTTAATCACGTACCAAACCTCACCTCCCAAAAGCTGCTTTTAGCCTGGGATGTGTGCTTTCCAGTCATTGCTGATGTACTACACAGCAATTTATGAAGCTGCTGTCCTGGGTGAGTCCCTGTACTAAGGGGGGTTGTCCCTAAGGCAGACAAGTAGAGGGATATCTTTCCCTAGGAGACCTTGGACCTAGATACTCTTTCCTGCTCTCCCCACCTAAGCCTCTGGTTTTCCATCCCTCGTTTCCAGAAACTGCCTTTTCTGGCTTTGCACTCTCCCCTGTCCTTAATGACTAGTGGATCCAGCCATCAGGCACTAGGGAGGAGTGCAGCCTGTCTTCTTCTGCTTTTACACATATATGACATAGAGAAGAGTTTCCAACCTCTACATTCTGAGTTCTTCCAAAGCAGAAGGAAGTTGTGGTGTGATATTAGCTGAAACAGAGCCTGCATTTACTGAACTCGTGCAAGTTTCATCTTCATAATAACAAGCTCACATCCAGATAAATTCTGCCAGACTTTGTGTTTCCTGAGGCAGTCCATACATTTTCAGTCTTCAAGTGGCTTTGATAATGAGACATCAGCAAAGTAATGACCAGCTTTGCTAGAAGTTTTTTGGAAATAGTAGCAACCTGTAGCAGAGCAGAAATCAGGCTCTTGCATACTTTGGTAGAAAGTCTTTGCAGGCCTGCTTTGGTTGTGGGGTGTTGTCCTGAAGCTTCAGTACATCACCCTAACCCTTTTTACTTCTAGTTCTCCTGTCATTGAAGAGCTGAGCTATTCTGGGAAGTAGTGGGGGCAAAAGAAATTGAAAACAATAAACCATCGGAAAAATGGTGTCCTGGTTTCTGTCCGTATACCTGCTTTTGTATGACCTGAGTCAGTGACTTTTTATATTTGCATTTGCTGGATCTAGTACATGGTCGGAAGGGAGAACATATCCTTGTTCTGCATATGGCACCATTAAGTAATCACTAGTGCTCATAGTAGCAGTGTCTGGAGTCAGGTGAGCAGGGGGTGCTGATGTACAGATCCGGGGCACAATTCAGTTAATTACAGCCCAACCAGGTTAACAGCAAGCAATTCAAGGCAGGGTAGTAAGAAGAGAAAAACTGTATTTGTCCTACAGTAGTCTCTGATTCTTTGAAATTAGGTAGAGAAATAATGGTGGCACAGGTGAAACAGTGAGAGAAATGAAGGAGGGTTGGTGTATGGAGGAGAGAGCCCAGGCTGATGAGAAGGAAGTCAGCTTTTGACTAAATTTCGATTAGTGTGCACTGATCTGAATCTCAAAGCCCAGCTGTTCTCTCTACAGTCTTATCTCTTTTAGGCATCTTCAGTAACTGGCTTTTGTGTTCTGAATTTTGGGACTGTATTTTTTGAAGGGGCTTCCTGCTAGGGAAGAACTTGTTGTACAAGCCTTACTGGTACATGAGAGATACACACATATGTTGATATTATGTAAATGTAAAGAGTTCTCATATCTACATTTGATTCATATTTAAGTAGATTTTCTATTACATAAAATAGGTCATGAACCCAGGATTCTGCTGAAATGTCTTTCAGTGTGCACTCTTTTGAGTCGCCTAGCTGCACTTGGCTGTACTAGTCCATTTGGAAAAATACTGGGCAAAGGAAACAGTTGGAAAATTATTTCACAATAAGGAACAGACATGCTGATTCTTAGAAGTGCCACTTAGAAGTTAATTGAAAACCTTGGAAGCTTTCTTTCTGGGTCTTTCCCCACCATTTCACATAATTGCAACACTACTTTAAAAAGTTTTCAAATTGGTTTAAGGGCACCTAAGATGGGATCCTCTGCTTGATGTAAACTGTTGTTTGTAAGCAGCAAGCCGTGGAGATCAAGTGCCCTTCTGCCCAGGAACTGTACGCTATCCAGGGTGATGTACACTCACTTAATGTTCCAAGTTGTTACCAGACTGAAAATATGTGCTGTTTCTTCAGGCACTTTGCTTAAAATCTTCAAATCTAATTTGTCGACTCTAGTTCCCTTCGTGTTCCTTTCACAATGTTCTATTAGTGACAGACTTTCTGAGCAGCTGCCCACTGTCTTTGCCCCCTGAGACAACTGGAAACGTGGGCTAAAGGCTGTAGATGGTCTGATCAGGAGGTTCACATTAGTGTCAAATGCAGTTGTGTTCCTTTTCCAACAGTTGGTGGAAGTTTTGTATGATGAGTGGAGGAAAACATTTAGGAAGACACTTGTATAAAACATATGGGGAAAATGGATGCAGCTGTATTCCTTCAAATCTGATGGTGACCAAAATAGTAGGACAAATGCCATTAACATTTAGTTGATACTTTGCTAGTTGACAGAAAACATAAAATAAATTTGCTTTTAGAGATTTTATTTACTGTTTGAAAACTATAATGTAAGTGCTGTTGCTCTATTCTGTCAACAAACTGTTCGTAAAAAACCAGTTGCTATATTCCTGTATTTTGTAAAAAAAGTTTTAACCATACATAGCTCAGTTAAGAATTTAGTACGATACTCAAATGCAAAATGCTTCAAAATAGGCAACTTCCACCAAGAAAGTATGTCTAAAAAGGAGTGGAAAAGGCATGTACTTGCCAAGTTCAGACTTCTGTTTCTACTGCAGCTTTTGATGATATTCCTGACTTGTAAATAGGCTACAGTCTTTCCCATGCCCTAGGTGCTTGGGATTGAACATGTTTTTAGCTACTGTTGACTTAGAATTGTTAGCTAGTAACTCTCAATGTGAGGCTGATTGCTTTAAGACTGGCTTGGACACCTCTGTGCCAAATGTTCCTTAGCACTGTACTTTTAGAAAAAAGTTTTGCATAGTGACTTGTTTGTGGTTGTTCTCTCTTTTTTAATAGCCACATAAATGTCAACCAGCTGGCACTCGAGGCAGCATATCAGGGTTTTAGGATAACTGTGTCCAGTACCAGTACCTTTCTGTCGTTCTTGTATCCACGTGCCTTCTTAACTTAAACTCTCTCCTGGCCAGTATTCTTGTGATTCCTCTATACTCAGCCCTGGATTTGTGCCATCTATCCCATACATGCCGGTTACTTATTACCAGGCAGGCCTGTCAGTGCCTGAGGATGTCGTGTCCCTCTCTTGGGAAACTTGTGGCCAGTAAGGCTTTCTCAAAACAAAGGATCATTTGTTGATATGTAGAGCAACAATTCAGAGACAAGAATATTAAGCCAAAAATCTAAATGTGTGTTTTGTTTTATGCGAATGTCTGGTTATGAGGCAGAGCAGGCAGTTGTGGGTTGTTTTTTTTCATCAGTGAGTACCCATGCAGAGATTTAGTCTGTTTTTAGGACTTCATAAATAGTGCTGTCATTACCCACACACATTCCTCTCCCTTCCACCCCTGCCCTGCCCTCCCCTACCCTCCTGGAAGGTTGTGTAGACAAGGGAAAAAAGGAATTTGGTCATTCGGGGCTTCTGCTATCTGGTTAGAGAGTCTCTGTAAAATGCCGCATGCATAACGGAGGTGTCTGATGTGTTTGGAGCAGGGTCAGACCTATTATATGTGTAGTGCCCAGTGAGATAGATGGTTCTGGGTGCACTGCAGTTACATTTCATGTGTTTTCAAATTTTGTTGAGTTAACAACATGTATGGTGCCCGCCTGGGCTGTGCCCATGTTACCATCCAGAAATGTAGGGTCCCTATGAGTTTCTCCCTGTGAACCAGCTCCCCAGCTTGCCTCCAGCTGATTTCTTCTTCCCTCTGCCCCTCAGAGCAGCCCGTGTTAAAGGTTCACAGCCGTTAGGAGAATTTGTCCAGTTGCTGTTTCATGTGAAACTGGGCAAAGTCCTCCACTCCTGACATATTTGCTGTACAAGCTTATTTGGGGGTTATCTTTCTTTCCTGTTCGGGTCAGCTTAGGCGTGGTCAGACAATTAATTTTGGTTTCTTGTACAAGACCATTTCCCTCAGCCAGAGGGAATGTGCTGCCAATGTGCTGCCAGAAACAACCTGAAGTCTCAAGTGACTCCAGTTTAAAACATTCCCTCCTGGCAATGTCTTGATTGTATTTCAACAAAATAATTAGTGTAGGACAGCTATTAAGAAAGTGCTTGCCTGTGTGTGTAATGCTGCATTATTCTTCTATTCATCTATATTCTGTGAATTTATTGCAGAAGATGTAGCCCTTGCACATGGAAGAAAGAATATAGGTGATATTGCAGTATGAATTCAGGGACGTGGGGTTTTATTTATTTATTCTTACAGAGCAGAGAATCAGCCTCTTAGAAATAATAAGGAGCTCAGGGAGCCCTCGCGTTTGCCATAATTGAACCTCCCTTTCTGGATCCTGGTTATTGCAAGCTCTACACTTTAGCTGCTGGCTGTGGACATACAAACACCTAACCTTAGTAAAATGACTCCCACTAGGCTTAAGTTTAAATCTAGACAGATGATCCTCAGGAGTCCTCTTTCTTTCCATAGCCCAATGCCTGAGTTTTTGCTGGTTCAAATCCTAGTGCAGATCCTGACTCTGTTTTCTTTGTGAACCCCAGGCATAAGCTCACCAAAATGATTTCTCCTGAACTCATCCCATTCTTGTTTGTTTTAGCCATTGTGCAGTGATCCTTGACATCTCCAGACCTACGCTTTGCCAAGTAATTCCATATTTGCTGCAGCTCTAAAGAGCTGGCCTCTGGCCCTTGTTGGCTACAATCCAAGCGTGGTTTAGCCTCAGCCCTGCCAGCTTCAGAGGAGTGTGATGGGACATGTAAATTTCTTATAAGTCACATTACACATTAAGTTATAAATAATAATTTGTTACTCTTATGAAATTTATCTTTACATCTACAAAAATAATAAATTTTTTTTATGGTAGTCTGTCTCAAGAGAAGGCTGCTCAGGAAGACGACAAACGCACTCTGATAAAGAGAAAGCATCCTCTCTGCTGTTGTTAGTGATATGGGCAAGTCAGCAAATGAACTAGAGGTTTTTTGGTAGCATTTTAGTTTACAGGCTTCAGTGATTATTGTTGCATTGTAATCGGTACTGGAAATATGTTCCATTTCTGCCAGAGTTTTCATTTGCTGCCTCGTTTTGCTGACTTAGAATCCCTGCTGAGTGTCCAGGGGGCAGTTGTCACACTGGTGAAGGGACAGGTACAGATTTGTAGCTTTACTGATAAAATGAGAGGGTGTTTGAATGCTATAGCTTCATATCCAGTAAAACAGATCTATAAGCTCCTCTTTTAATACTATCTTAGTAAAAATGTCTGTGTTTAGTATGGTATGTGTACATTTTTACTTACTTTACGTTTGAAAACTGCTATAGATTAAGCTTCAATGGTAGCTTGGACTTCAGCAGTATTGAGTGTTTAAGATGCTGTATATAGTAAGGAGACAGGGTGGTCCAACAACAGTAGGTGGCCTTTCTTCTCTCAGCAGCAAGTGGTTGATGTAAAATTATGATTGTTTACAAACAGTGGATTTAAGGCTAAGTTCCAATATTGTGGTTAACTTAAAAAAAATAAAAAGACACTGGTATTTGAACAGAAAGTGCTAGAATTGGTTTCAAGACTGTTTTAACTTAGTTCCTCAAGAAAATATGCTTTTGAGAAGGTAGGTGGGGGAAGGTATTAACAGTTCCATGATCTGGACATTACCACTGCAGTCAGCAGTTTTACAAAGTCCAGAAAAGTATGTGGATTTATTCAGATGCCGAGCAGCTCAGTTGCAGAAATATCCCAGCAACTTTACAGTTGTCCTGCAGGGACCCAAAGCCTCTGTGGCCAGTGGAAAAGTGCCAAGGTAGCAGTGGCAGTAGGAGGGTAAGATGATAGTCCCACAGGCAGCTTGATGCCAGGCCAGCTTGTCCCAAGGGCCTTGAGGGAGCTAGCTCTCCAAGCTCTGAAGATATTTAGAAGGATGCAGAAGTGCTGTGTTAAACAGGGGCACGTGTACAATGTCCTTGAAGCACGTGTCGGCAGTGGCATTGCAGGTTGCTGGGGCTCATCAGAGCGGGTGTTGGCTGTCCCTGGTCACAGGGCAGGGGTGGCTCCTCATGGGTTAGGAGGCTTCTGCTCCCTGCTGTACCTCCGGGGGGTGTCAGTGACCTTTTAACTTTAATGGAGAGAAAAAGAACCAGCGAATTACTGCAAGTGGCAACATCGTAAAACCCACTGCAGGAAAGGGTATTGATTGCTGAGTAGGAGACAAGCCAGATCTTTTAGGGTTTGTATCAGGAGGAAATCAGTGCTTTTCTCTGTTTTAGAAAGCAAAGGGCAATAAAATGGTTTGTGTCAAAAATCTTAGCCATGTCATCTTCTCAAAAGGGGAAGAATGAAAAATACAGTGCTGTCTGAATTTAAACAATAATAATTGCCAAAAATGATAAGTAATACATGATTCATCTAGGTAATGTTTTTTCATGATTCTCCTCAAGCAGAGGTCTTAATGGGTTTGGTTTTGAGTATAAAAGCAAAAAGAAACAGATCTGATATGAAAATGACGAATCTGGTGTCATCTCCTTAACTTATAACAATCAGATGTTGAACTAGAAGATAATCTGTTTTCCTAATGGTCATCACTAAATCAGTGATGTGAATTACTCTTCTAGGATGATGCTACTTGCTTTTGTACTTAACTTTTTGCGGAGACAATGTTCTAAAGGAGTTGATAAATCCTATATGATAATATTGTACTTGTCTTTATATATTAGGTAAATATGGCGAGAGATTCAGTATTGAGGAACTTGCAACTGTCAAGTTAGTCATGACAGACAGTGCAAGGGGAATACAGTGTTATAGTTATTTGGACTTTTTTCCTAGTAAAAAACTTTGATGGTTTTCCAAAACTTCCAGACTCGAAAAAACAGTGTGTATTATGTGGGTTACAGCTAGACTATGAAAACTGGAAATAAAAGAACTGATTCTTCTTTTTTTTTTTTTATTGTCTGCTGCTCTGAGGCACTCTAAGCATGTGCCTGAAAGTGGCAAGTGTACAAAGAAAGCCACAAAACAGTTCCCCAAACTGCAGTTACTAACATAAGGGTTCCTGAATCTCTAGCAGTAATTCCTGTATTAGTTTAGTACTATTTAACTTATCTCATTGTAATAATTAAGCTACAGGTAAATAGCTAAGAGTCATTTTGAAGTGCACTAAATGACATGACATGCTTTTGTCACAGTCCATTCTTCTTACTTGTCTTTTTGTGAGGAAAACATTGAATTCATTAAATACCTCTCCCCCAACCGCTCCCCCCCAAAGGAAACCCCACAAAAAATCACTTAGTTTTTGACTGCAGTCTGGATATATGTGAGATTAAGGGTTGACTTGAAGCCTGACAAAGCATTTTATAAGTTGCTAGTTTGTTCCTTGGTGAAGGCTCTGCAGAAATAAGCTTTTTGTTTGTTGCATCTGCAGAATCAAGTCAGGCATGAGCCTCAGGTCAGAGTAGCAAGCAATTTTCTAGAAACACACCTGAGCCCCTAAAGGTAAAGATGGCAAAAAGCTTCTGATGAGCTGAGCTTCTGGGTTGCATGTCTGTATGTTCCAGAATATGAAATCAGGTTTTAATTGCACCTTTTTCTCAGGACACCTACACAGCATTTCCTGCACACTCGCTGTAACTTCACAACAGTGCAACTCTGGATCACTTGCTCTCATGGTAACACTAATTCCAGTAAAGCCAAGTGTAACACTTCAGTACTCCTACAGGCATTTTTTTTTCCCCCATGTGTTTGCTGTTGTGTCTGATTTCTGTCAGAAGCTAATAATGAGATGCATTTCACTGTTTTTTCTTCTCTTTTCATATAAAGACTATTTCTGAGGTCAAATGCATTTAAAAAAAACAACTCAGAAGCTCTAAACTCAGGGAGATGATTCAGCTGGCCTTCCCTTGCTTTGAGGACATATGTTTGCATTGTGTAAAAGGTTTGTTTGCAGTTGATTGCCCACTGAGTGATAAGGCTGCCTCCATCTGTGCAGGACAGGCCTTCCACAACCGCATCTTTACATGATAGTGGTGAAGCAGGGTCAGGCAGCATTCCAGGCAGCATAGCAAGTAAGGTACTGCATTGTTTCATTGCTCTTCACTGAATCAGTCATGAGGACTAGGAGTTGCGGGAAGTGTCCAAGGGTGAATTTTCACCCAGTGAAGACTGGATATTCATCCATTTTTAGTATTCATTTTGGAGAGAAAGGACTGGAGTATAAGATGGTAGCATGGATCTCATCTTCAAGGAGCTGTGAAAAATGTCTTGGGCATTGGCATGACCTGGCAGTTCGCTAACTAAAGGAAAGAGAGGAGACTTCTTTAGGTCAAACCAGTTCTAGACAGCTGTGAGCTTTGTTAAATTTTATTTTTCTTGACTCAACTCCAAATTCACTCTTTTATTAAACTAGTATTGTTTAACCTTAATGCTTGTTTAGTACTGAGAGACTGTGGAGTGACTGGCAGCCCACAGATGTTCCATTCCCCAGGGTGTGACAATCAGCAGCTGGACAGCTGATCCCCTCCTTATACACCCTCTAGCCACCAAAAGATCAGAAGTTACCTGTGAGTTACCAAGGTCAGCTTTGAAACTACTTGATATGGACTTTGATTTTGGGAGAGCTGGGTCTGGAGGGAGTTGTTAACCAGAGTATTCTTGTGTGGTGCAGGAGCGTAGAGCCACCTCAGAACCAGTAGCAGAAGAACCCACAGCTAGCCAGACAAACAACTTTTATAGTTCAGCTGCTGTTTATCAGCCTAGGAGGAGCTTCGTACCCTCATAAAAAGAGGGAAGAATAATCTGGTAAGACATTCTTTCAATCTTCTAAGCTTTAGATATGCATCTTTAATCTACCTATTTGCAGTAGTCTTAGAAACCATACTTCTGTTTTCATGTCCTTGCCAAAGCATGCATAATCTCAAGATCTCAACTTCTTAGAGCTCCCTGAATTAAACTTTGTACTTCTGCTACCTAATAACGGCTGAAGGAAATGTTAAATTTGGACAAGCCTTGGTGACATTAAAAACAAACAACTTGTGATTTAGAGGTGGGTGAGCTGTAGAAATATTAAAGGCAGAAATCACCAGAAAAGTGGCTCTTTGGGGGGAGTAAGAGTCCTAAGTGATGAACCAAGTAGTTCAGGGAACAAATGGAGTCACTGGAGTTCTTGCAAGTCAGTGAGTTAAAGTCAGTAGCTGTGAGAAAAGCTTAGGTGAAACAACCGAGTCTCACAGCCTCTGAGAAAAAAGATGGTGTGTCTTTGGTGGAGAATACAGTGGGCTAGAAATGGCCTGATTTATAATGACTCACAAACCCCCGTAATTACGTGCAGGTCATTTGCCTGTTAAAGCTGAAGATGTGGCCATTAAGAAAGCAGAATGTAAGAAAGATCCAGAAATAGAAAAATAGCATTTCAAGGACAGATAATGTTCAAAGAAAAGACAATAAATATAATGTCTGAATATGGTAAAATGTTCAGTCTTAGCCAGCTTTACAATCCTAAAGACTACAAAAGGAAAGCTTCTGTATATTGGTCTAGACTCATCTCCTGATGTGGCCAATTGTCAGCCCTCCACTCTACTAAACAACTTGTTTTTGTTATTATTATAAAGGTATCAGGTGCAATGACATTCCTAAGGGGCTGCTCCTATTTGACGCATACAGCAAGAATTTAAACTGTAGGAAGAATACAGTTTAGTCTCCTCCCTAGAATTGTGTACCATTTCTAATAATAGAGTGATTTTTTTTGAAGATTTACCATCATATTAAGTTTAAATGAAGGAGAATGCTTTGAAATACTGACCATTTTTTTCTTAACTCGCATGCTAGGATGATACATTCTTCTATTTAATTTAAATTCTTTCATCATTGTAATGAATGGCTTGATTGCTGTGCCATATCATTATCATGATGAAGATTTTTGTTGTTTTAGAAATAACAAGTGTATAATAAAGGGATAGAAGAGATTAAGAGATACATTTGAAAGGGTAGTGGCTGTAGACAGTGAGGAACAAGAGGACTGCACAAGGAAATAAATGTTCAGAGCAGCTGGTGTGGGGCTGCTTATTCATTGCTGAAACACCTGGTGATTTCATTAAGGCTTCACATATATTAGGTGGAGCTAAAACAAATCAGGTAGCCCAGAGCCCCAAAGAATTGTTTGGTTTTATTTGTAAACGTTCCTGGGAAAGAATCATCTGATCATCCTCCAAAATATTAGTTTGATATCTATGAGCACTGCAGTAACAGGTGTTCCAAGTGTTCCAGCTTGGATAGCCTTTCTGTGGAAAGAATTTAAGATTTTGGTTTGCCAGTTTTTAGAGTCATCTCTTTGTGCTGAACTTGACTCAGAAAAGTTTCCCTATTGGACTGAAACAGAACTGTTCCAAGTTATAGCAGCCAAGTGCAGGCACCTTTTAGGTTCCCCAGGACATTTCTTTTAACCGTAGCAATAAGGGAAAATTTCATTTCTGATAACTTAGAGTGCACAGAGGTTAAATGCCACTCTTTTATACAAGCAACTTTCATGGAAGTGCTTGCTATGAAGGAGTATGCTTCCACGCTTTAGATGGTATTTGTTTTGAGTATCTCTCATGAGCTAATTCTGGGTGAAAGGAAACTGAGTACCTATCAATATTTTCATGTTAAACATCTGTTGCTGTGTTTTCCCTTAGGAGCATTTCATTAGATCGCTGTTTACTTGCATCGATACAGGGTCAAACATACTGTTGTGTTTCCCCAGGGGAACGCTCCAGTTATGCAAACCATACCGTAGATCTGTCCCCATGTCCTCCGGCTGTGCTGTGGTTTGCACTCGTTAGTACCCAAATGAGCTCTATGCCAGTCTCAAACCATATTCGCTGATGAAATTGCTCATGTAATTTGTCTTACCAGCTCCCAAATAGAAATAATTTCAGTCGGCAGTTGTGTACTGGCTTATAGATGAGATGAGCAGGTGGCTCAGGTTTGTGTGTGCTCTTTAATT